AGGTCACTATGGACAACAGGTGACCACAATGAAGGAAGGCAAAGTCAGTCTTCAAGAAAAAAAAAAAAGACTTAATAAAATAACAATAAAAGTGACACTGTCTACTTGAACTCACAAGAAGTAATTTTTCCTCAACAAATGTCAAGTATTTTTGGAAAAGGCTGTAGTTCAAATGATGAAGGGAACAAAGTAAAGTTCATTTTTGTGTAAAGCAGGAAGCAGACTTCACCATCCTGTTTTCCAAGAAAAGTTATTACCAACACCTATTCACAGCCCCATGCCTGTATCCTGCAATGATAACACTGCCTTGACTCCTCTAGGCAATCAGATTTGCCAGCCCAAAGGCTTTGATTATAGACATAGCAAAAAAAAAAAAAAACAAAACAAAAAAAAAACCCAAACAAATAAAAAAATCACACAGAAAAAGAGTAGAAAAAAAGAGCAGAAAAGCAGTGTGCATCAGCCCTTTTTTACAGAATCCAGTACAGAATATATTTACCAGGAAGATACAGACCCCCTGAAGAACTGGAGATGCCACTTTCCAAAGCTCAGCTCCCAGTCATACGCTACCTGCTGCTACGGCAGGTTGCTGCCAGATGTACCCGACTAGCTGCTTCACTCTTCCATTCAGAATCCAGCTACTGCGGTGCTATTTGCCTCCAAGCCTGAACTGGCAGGAGTTGTACCGGTAAAGCCATCAAACAGGCTTAGCTGCAGGAAAAGGAAAGCCGTGGGGCCAACACAGCTCGTAGCTTCAACTGAAGTAGGAGCAAAAGCATTCTGCCTCTGGCATAAGTCATATTTTCCATAAGAGAAAACAACTGGGGACTCCCTTGCGCAAGGTCTGTTAGGAAAATTTTTGGTGCAGACAGGCCAGAAAGCAGAAGGAAAGAGTAAGGACTCTGTACACCCGCTCCAAGGTCTGCCTTGGGTCAGGGGAAGGGTCAGGGCCAGGTCTCTGTGACGCACCAACCTTTTACGATGTGCACACCTGGCCTGATGCAACCCTTAAATCTAGGAGCAACAAAGCATGACGTGGTGCCATCACTGGCACTAGGACAAAAAAAAAAAGAAAAAAGGAAATTGCAACAGGTGCTCTAACCAAATTCCTTTGAAAGTTGTGAACCAAGGGCACTAGGCATGTGCTGCTGGTAAAGGAGAATCCCCACTCCACCCCGAAAACACATTTGGGAGCTTTACGTGGAACGGATGATATCTGCTGGCACCACAAGACGGACAGGACACCCAGGACTTTACTTGGCAGATATGCTCCGGTTCACAGCCTTCAAGGGCAAAAACACCAACAAGAAAAACAAAAGTTGCAAAAATTAGCCTGAAACCTTCCCAGTCCCGAACTTGCAGCGCATTCGCTGCTTACTCACTTCTTGCTAAGCCTAGAGCTGCCAGGTCAGGCCCCACCCTCCCCTCCAGCACAACTGCTCTCTGCAGCTTGGAAGCTTTTTTTTTCCCACCCTGCTATCCAAAAAAAAAAAAAAAAAATCATTGGCGTGAAAGCTTTTATCATCCTGAAAAGGTGCCAGCTGCGAAGGCGACTCTGCGTCTCAGACGCCTGTTTCCTGGCAGATTTTACATCCTTTGCTCAGCTGCTAGGACGGCGGGGGCAGGAGGTGCCTGCAGCAGCAGCAGGCTATGAACCAGTGTTTTAAACAATCATGTGTTTAAGTGCTGCTGAATGCCCGAGAGAGCAAAGCTATCAAACCCAGGGCTAAGCAACAGAAGGGCTCGACAAACATCCAAGCAACAGCATCGGCCTGTCCAAGGTAAGGAAAAGGGGTGGACTGACATATGGTGACGCTGTGCACAGACCATTGGGATGGGCACAGGCTTCCAGACAGATGCAGGAAAGGTGCTTGGTGCTGGTTTGGCACTCAGAAATCCCTCTTCCTCTGCAGCCTAAAACTGCATGGGCTCTTTCATCAAAAAATACACAAGATAAAAAAAAAATGCAATCTCATCAGGATATTTTTTTTAAAGGCAGATTCTGGTAGTTGCTTGGCCTATGACAAGTAGCATCTACCCCATCCCACCTACCTGTAACTAGTTCCTCCATTAGCAGATTTGCCCTAGTAATGCAATTCAGGATTCAGGCCATAAAGTATCCATAAAGTTGGATACAACTTTAAGTTATTTGGAACTGCCTGCGAAAAGGAAACAAAGCAGTCTGGAAAAACAGGAATGGATCCACTTTCAGATTTGTTCTCACCCCAGTGCACGATAAGTGGTTAGGAAGGAACTGGTTTGGTTTGAAGTAGAGGTGGGACCAATCCTACTAACTCTTCAGAGGCCTTAAAAGACAATCCCTACTGGCCAAGTACAGTGCACTAAGTTGATGGTACTCAGAAAATTGGCTTCTATCAAACAAAGTTTCCACTTCTGCTAGATGCCCTCTATGCAGCCCCCAGGCTGGAGTGTTTCATGGTGTTGTGGACAGCGCTGCATGGGAAGTGAGGGCACAGATTGTCTTGCATGATCCAGCTCCCCAAGGAGGCCAAGACTCTCCATGTGTTCTATATTTTCCAAAAAACACACAAATAAAAGCTGCAAAGTTCCCACTGATCACAGGAGGAAAAAGCACAGGAAGTTAAATCCTCCAAGATGTCACAAAAGCTTTCCTCTTTCTACATCTCCTCGAAAGCCCTGCTCACTAGGCAACAGGAAAAGTAAATCTTCATCTTGCTTTGCACTTGTGTGTCTTCATTTCCTTCAACTTTCTCACTTTCTCTCCCTTTAAGTAAATGATGCTGGCTTTCCCAGAGTTAAGTGGAAGGACGAGGCAGGTCTCTGCTCTCCTCCACAATGTCCAACTCGGCCTATAGGTACAGCATGTGGCAGGAAAGGAAGCAGGACCACAGACACGGCTGGAATTCAAAGCTTAAAACCCAAGATGGGCTGAAAGAAACACAACCTACCAGCAGCCAGATGCCCTCGGGAGGGCAAGCGGGAACGGAGAGGAAGCTGGGGAGATACTTGGAGCTGTTTGCTGCTCCCTATGTCCCTCACGGATGCAGCTTTCCAGAGCCAGGGAGCTGGCAGGGGTGGAGAACAGCGAAGTACATTCATCCCAGGAGCAGCACTGACCTGGGAGCCAGACACTCTTCTGCCGCCGGTGGAAAGGAGAGCAACCGCCAGCCCGCTCCGAGCGCGGGAATGCCGGGGGGGAGGATGGGACACAGGCAGCATCTGTGTGCGGCCTCTGCCAGCCTGACTCCAGCCAGGCCTTGGCGGGAGGACGCTGGCGCGGCAGCTTCTCTAAGGACTAGCAGGATCAGCGCTAATGGCTGCAGTCTGCATCGCTGGCCTTACAAGGTAGGCATTAAAAGACCTGCCTTTGTTAGTGCCAGCCTAGAGGAAGAAGAAAAGCAGCATTATTAGCAAAGCAATAGACATGTATAATTAAGGACGCCTGCCACTTCCCATTAGAGCTGATTTTAGGCACTAACTTGGATGGGAGTTGGCTGCCGTTTCCGTGCTTTGTCTGAGCATCAGAATGAATTTCTTTTGTAAAGGGTTCAGATGTTTCTCAGAGTTGATCCAAAAAATGTAGGTTGTTTTTCCAGGGTCTGAAGACACTATTAGCTTCAAGAGACAGCACTGATGTCTCTGGCATTCCAAATCAGGATTATTTCAAACAGAATAGCTTTGCTTTCCGTTATCTCTTAACACATTCAACTCACCTCATTTCTTCAGTCGCAACCTTCACAACCCCATCAGATGGAGAAAAAGTCACTCTAATCATGGTCAACACATTCTTACTTGGCAAAAATTTAAGAGGCAACATCCCTCAAACCTCTCATTTTCCCCAGGAACACATTTTCAACAACTAATGAATCTTTGGAGGAAGCCACTAAAAGGGCAATTCAGCTAACAAGTAAAATATGCATGGGGGAGAGATGAACAATTGGTTAAATCTGGCAACCAGGACAGGCTGGCATTGTAGAGTCATTCAGACAGGTGTGCTGGGCTATTTGGACCACTGCTCTGGGCTGCCTTTTGGTCCCAGACTTACTGCAGCAATGGGAGATTCAACTTGGGCAACTAATACAGACCTGCTGAGGGAAGTTCTTGCAGTACTAACCCCAAATTGGAACCTGGCTCCTGTGAAAAACATCTAAATACCTTTTATGGTCAAGTCTACAAAGATCCTACCCCTGAAAGGAGGCCATTTCTCCCAGCCTTCCTGGAGCTTTCTTATTTGTTCATATTTGAACACAGGCTGTGCAAGGATTTCCTTGAGCTCAGCCCCCAAAATTAAACTAACCCAGGCTTTCCTGCCAGACAAGAGCAGGGGGACACTTGGGGACGTGGGCTGAAACAGCCTCTTCCACATAGTTCTGTTTCTGCAAAGGATTCTGCAAAGTGCTGTGCACTTGGGCCAGATCTCCCTCACCAAGAGGCACAACCAAGTGGAAGCTGAGGGTGCTCTGGGAAGCGCAGATGGATAATACAATTGCTGGTCCCAGACTCAACTGCCACTAAGTGAACAGCTGGCCTTACAAAGCAAGCTCTCCCACTTAAGTCTTTAAACTGCTGGGACCTCTAGTCAAACAGGAATTCTGGTCTGACAGCTGGCACTCCACCCCCGGTTTAGTGCCAACTAAACACTGCTAAATACGGCAGCAGTACAAAGAGTTTGAATTTGTTATTAACCATTTCCAGTTCTTTACTCTCTGCTGAGAGCAGGGATGCCTTCAGATGCTTCCTTTAGGGCAAGCCAAGCAGGGAACACAACACAGGCCAGAAGGAATCAGCATCATCTGCTCAAAGCACACGCTTCCAGGGTAGCGGAAAGACAAGTTCAACTTTGACATGAGCTGCAATGATTTCAAGTGTCTTCTGTTGCGTGCTGCAGCAGCAGTCTCCTGATTAATTTTATACAGGTCAGGGAAAAAAAAATAATATTTTTTAAAGTATTTTTTTCAGAATAAAATTGTATTTTAATTTATAGTTACCAAGACAAGACCCAGACAAACTCAGTACGGTGTGAAAGTGCATTTATTCCAAAGCTGTATTTTCATATAAAACAAGGAACAGCAGCATCAACCCTTACACAGATCTACAACGCTCCTCTAGGCTCCAGGGCTTGGGGTCCTGAACAATCTTAACAGAGCACCAGGGCACCTCTTGTCAAGAGTTATCAGCAGAGAGTCAAGGTAGGGGGCAAGAGAACAAAAGAGCAGACACATTGCCAGTGGCAGAATCTAGGAAATCGTGCCTGCTCACAAGGAGGGAGAAGGTGTCAAGACACTTCACAGGAAGCTTAATGTCTGCGCAAAGATCTCTCAGAACCCACTGCTCTCTGCAGGCTGCTTGCCAAGGGGCAGCTGCCTCCATTAGAACTGCATTATTCCTGCAGACAGAAAACAGGACTGTTGGGCTTAATAATCTGCTGGATGGCTTCCAAGCACTGAAGTGGCTGAGAGGCCGTGTTAGTGCTGTGCTCCCCGGGGCCTGGAGCCCCCGCGCTGGCTCCGGCGTGCGCGGTCGCTCCCGGCTGATGCCCTAGAAGGGTTTACCTTCCTCCTCCTGCCTTAGCCTCTTGGAGAGATGCTCACTAATGGCCAGGAGTGGGTTGGCCTTGTACGTGGGATTCGTAATGACCTCGTGAAATCGAGCCATCTCCTCCTCTCTGGGGAGAGAAAAAAAAGACACACAAACACGCAAACAGTGAGTGCCTCGTGCATAAGGAACCGAGCAGGTAGGAACAAAGCTGATACAGCAACGGGTTTCTGTACAGACAGAATTATCCTGGGTGTAAACCTCAAAGAAAACAGTTCAAGAAACAGACTTAATTCACCCAAGGCCAAAGCTTAAATTATTGCCAGCTCCATGGGCTCCAGGCACTTGATCTCATGCCACAAATGCACAGCCAGCCATGTTAGGTCCCACCATCCCTTAGAAAATCTGGAGCTTTCCCATGGTAAATCAGGAACAAGAGACAGTGGGGATCCGGTAAATCTTCTAAGAATGAAAAACATTTAGAGTGCACTAGCACAAAAGCAGATCCTGCATTTAAGAGCTCATCCCTCTGTGCTCCACACAGAGACTTGGTAATCCTGCTTGCAACACTAGTTAGACACCAGGGGAGAAGCATGATAGAACTACCTCTGTATGCGGGGGACACAGCTGGTTGCTGTGGAAATCTTTTCTTAAAAAGCATCAGGGCTATTGCTTCAGGGGAAGAACAAGAACATAGGAGGAGTGTAAATAAATATATGAAAGGCTAGGTTTCACATAAGCCACTTCCACTGTGGCTTCCTCATCTCCTCCACACAGATTCCCAGGTTCAGCACGGCCCAGCCAGCTGCACATCCCCACGTTCTCAGCAGTTCCCAGGGATCAGCAGAGTGCTCCTCGGTCTGCAGCAGGCAGCCCCTGCCTCGCTCCAGGATGTCCCTTCCTTCAGTGCCAGCCTTATCCCTACCAGAGAAATGGAAAAAAAGGCCAAATCTCAAGCTCAGTGTGAGGAAGTGGAGGCAATGGGGGTGAAGGCTGGAGAAACAACTCTCCTACCTGAAGTTCTAGAAAATGAGCTTCATGATCTCTCCTGCTGGGAAGCACAGCTTTCAAACAGCAAGGTTTGTATAGTAGGATACAAGCCAGTACTCAGCACAGGTGGCCAGATGTGTGTAGAGAAGACAGGAGGATTTCCAAGTGATCTCACACCTGCTCGCTGATACAGAAGATGATGGAGCAGTCACCCACTCAGCTCTTAATCTGGAAAGTCCTAAATGAGTATTTCTCACCCAGGAGCTCCACAACAATGGCACACTGGTGGCATGCCAGGCCACGATCCTTGGGCTTCTGCAATGAGCCAGAGGAGACTCATCTGGAAAGGTGGATCTGAGCTGAAGCCGTTGCAGCAAGGACACCTGCCAAATGTGACCAACCGATAAGCTCCTACAATGGAAGTAGGCTCAGAGGAGATGGGGTGAGGTAGCCATGAAGTTCAGGAATAACGCAGGGTGTGATTCATAACCACAACTGTTGCACAGAAAGCTGACTTTAGCTCAACACAGCGGACAGGAGAGTGAGCTTTGTTTTAGATAAGCAGCAGTTGAGTGATCAACTGATATAAATTTTTCTCCCTGAGACAGCTAGAGCCGTCCAGAGAAAAGAGTACACGGGGCCCAGTTCAACACCAAGTATAAAACCTGAACAGCAAAAGAATTTCAAAGAAAGCAAGACTGCTGGGCTCTGACACCAGCTCCACGCACAGGAGGGTATTCACAGGATATTAAGAGAATGCTGGAACCCACAGACTCACTTATTCTCCTCCACACTTGGAACTTAACAGCCTAGAATTGCCAGACAAAACTTTTCAGTGCAGATCACAGAAAGCAAAGACTGCCAGAAGACAGTGCTTAGCTCCAGGAGGGCTGTGCTGACAGGAAGTCAAGTTCTCAATGCCTGCTTGTGTTATAAAATATTTAGTAGGTCATACAGAGGAGCAAAGAGCTCAGCCACACGACTTAATGAACTGCAGAGATGATTCAAAAGCATGCAGTGCTACAAGAAAAGTTGTGGCAGGGGCCAATACAGAGCTGACCCCATGAAGGAAGCAAGGCACGCAAGTTGTGACTCCAGAGGTGATCCAGCAAAGCACTGCAGTTCGTGATGCTTTGCAGGGATTCAGGAGCTCCTTCTCTATACAACCATTCCCAGAAAGTATCAGCTAGAACTAGACGGGCCTGGTGTTGCTGAAAACTGAGTCACAGCTGGATGCTAGCAGCTCCAACTAAGCAATGTGAGAGAGAGGGAAGGCACCATCTATTCGATAACAGCACTGCCTGTGTCTCACAAGGGGATGCAGTACAGGCGCGCTTGCTTGCAGAGTCAGACCTGAAGGGCCTCCAGTTAGGCAGCATTACCTGCATTGCAAGTGTTTCCAGAAGAGCAAAGCACTCATGGGACAATGGGATTTGAAAAAGGTGTCCCCATTAGTGGTGCCATGGGGAACCAGAGTGGCAATCCATCCCCAAGGACAACAATGGTGAGTTGGGACAAGATGATAATTGGTCTGGGCTTCTCTGAAGCCCTAGAGACCATACACAGGAGGCCCAAGCTAGCAATTCATTTTCAAGGAGGCCAAGAAGGTGAATTAAATGAGCAAGTTCCCAAGTCACCCCCAATCAGAAGACTTGGGAGGTGCAGGCATCTCTGAACACATAAAGCTAATCTAAAATACCAGAAAAAAAGTCCAGCAGAAAGACAACATTGAGAAGACCTATGGGAAACAGAGACCAGATACTCTGATAAATGGTACTTACAAAAGCCTGCGTTTCTGAGCCTGTTTCATGAGACAGAAGTCTGTTGGTTCCGCCTTGGCTGTCAGGTGACTGTGAAGAGAAGATACAAAATAAGTGAGTGGTGCTATAGAGGAGAGAAAATTTATCAATAGGTGAGGAGATGGAAAGAGTCCAATGACTCTGAATCTGTCTTTCCAGAAAGTACTGATAATTGCTCTGCACAGAAATGGTCCTGAAAAGCAATTGTTTCCACACCCAGACAACAAGGGAAGCGCATCGCTTTCTGCCACATGCTGACAAGAGTGCAGGAATCAGGACCGCAAAGGCAGCAGGTTAATGCTCTTGAAAAACATAGAATCACTTAACTCTAGAACTGGCCATGAGCTGTCCATGCCTGGATCACTTTCTGCTCGTCACTAACTTCCAGATCTAGGTGACAGTGTTGCCTGGAGAAGAGATCCAGTGAATTTCCCTGCCCCATCAGTCTAGTGTTATCCTTGTCCAGCTCATGCTACAGAGCTCCAGGCTTGGCAGGCCTCAGTTGTAGAGCTCACACAGTCACTCAGTATGGAAGAGGGAGCTGCTGGCCTTGCTGCCAACCAGTTCTGCTTAGGGTCTTGCAGTGGGGCCATTAAAGAAAAAAAAAGTTCCATTTATATTTTAAGGTAATGAATGGCAATATTCCTTTCTGCCTCTGGACAGAGGAGAAGTTAGCTGCAGATCAGTCAGCTAACGGCAAAGCACAACAGAGCTTCAGCTTTGTGAAGCTGAATCTAAAAATTCCCACGAAGCTACAGTAACGAAATGAAGCACAATGTGCAGCTGAGGCACAGGGGCAAGTCCAGATCTGCACTCTCTGTACTCAATTCTTATTTCTGGATAAAGTCCAAGGAGACCAAAGTTTTCATTCCAACCTACATAGGACACTGCACTGGATACCTGTGGTGTCACCCAGAAGATGAGCAGGAGAAGCAATCCTGATCCCAATCAGTTTTCCTCATGGAGGATCGACACAAACCCAAGCCAATCCCTTCAGATCGGATTCACTTTCTGCCCCAGCCCCCAAGCTCCCTGCCAAACCACGGGAATCCCAACGCCGTGGAGGCTGGTTAGCCAGGCAGGGCGGCACAAAGGCTGCTCGGGAGCGGCGGCAGGGCAGGTCAGCGCCCACACGCTGCTCCCGTCGGCCTCTGCCCCTGCCGCAGCCACCCTGGCACTGCCAGGGCTACGGAACCGGCCCGCGAGGCACCGCAAGAGCAGACCAGCAGCTACGGGGGCCTGAGCAGCCCTCCCTCACGCTGCTCTCTCCGCTGGCGTTACACGGTAAAGCAAGAGCGGGAGCCTCTTTACTCACTCTGTGCTCATTAATTATTTGGCACAGGAGCAATTTCCTGGTCACTGCCCCTGTTTGCCTAGATCACTCAGGACAGCATAAAGAAAACCCTTCTGAAGCCAGAGGGCAACTCACAACCACCAGCTTGCTCTAGGACACTCCTTAAGATGCAGGACTGCTTTAAGGCGTCACATCTCATGTCCACTTTTGCTTTTGGGAAGAGTCCCACCATTGTTTCTAGGGACCCGACGCTTCCAAGGGCTTTTCAGTCTCACCCAAGGCCTCTGCCCCACTGGTCTGACAGGTCTGAAAGGCTGTTGTCCAGATTTCCCCTAACAAATTACCGGGACGCTGCCTGCTCACTCAGAGTGTGAATGGTAGCCCTGTTTCATTACACCCTGTTTCATTACACTTCATTGCCTTCATTCATTATAAATCAGAATAAAAACCCCACTGTAATGCTCTCTTACCCAGCAGGAGATCAAATTCCTGGAGAATCTAATCTTTTATTAATACTGCTGACAAATCACCAGAGTATTACCCTTCATTTATGTAATGATTCAAATCCTATAAAAGCCTCCTCTGATTATTTCAAACACTTATGCACACACATTCTCATGCAGTACAGGAAGCCACAAGCCATCAAGAGGATTAGTTGTCCACAGGGGGAAGAGCACTGTAGCTCTTCCATCCCAGCTGCAAGAGAGGCTGGTTTTTGGTTGACATGTCATGGACAATGTCATGTCACGCTCCCACATCAGCTGAAATGATTGCAGGCAGGAGTGGCCAATATCAAATTTCTCAGTCAGAGCAGTGCCACTCCACCCTTTTGTGCCCTAGGTCTCACTAGGCTTTCTAGATATTAGAGCCCTGCAGCCAAAGTGAAAACAGAGCCAGAAGATGAGCTCAATCTTCCAGAAGAGAAGGGCTGCCAGAGTCCCACAGGAAGATGCTGGAGAGACAGAAAGAGCAGTGGAGCTGACAGCACTGCTCGGAGGAAGTGAGGCTAAAAGCTTGTATAAAACCACAGAAAGCTTCCACGTGTCCTGCACATCCACAAAATATATTATAGAAACAGAACACTGACTGTAGTGGGTCAGACGGAAGGACCTTTTTGGCCGGTATGTCCGTGAGGGCAGCCCCGAGCAGGCGGCCAGGGAAGAGCGCAGTGACAGTAGATGTCAGGTCCTCCTGCACAGAGGAGCTGCTCAGAGCCTCCTGGTGCTAGCACTGAACCTGCTAATCACTGTTTTTGTTAGATGCTCCTAATTTTCCTTCTGGAAAAGAAGATGAACTGCTTCCCCTCCATATCACACTTGACTTTATAGACTGTTGCATTCCCAAGCCTCCTTGTCTCCACACCCTTTTGAGGCTGAGGACTGCCCAGCTCACTTAGGTACATGTTGTTGTAGCACATCACCCACTGCAAGGGGGGAAAAAACAGCTATTTGTCCTTTGGCTAAGACAGGGCCCAAAGCTCCATCCAACCAAACTTCAGTGATCTGCAAGACCTGAAACTCTGTGCATTTCTGCTGCCCATTCTCACTGAAAGAGAAGGCAGACTTAGACTTAGTAAATGGCTGCATGAAGAAAAAACGAAAGACTAAATAAACAGAGAGATGCTATTCAAAGAATTAGTAGCCAAGTTACAAAGGGAAATATTTTCCCTTGCTGAGACACAAGTTAGAAACAAGTTTTGTCTGAGGGTAAATTTCTAGAAGCACAAGGAACAGCCAACCCAGCTCAGCCAGATTCTGCAGGTAGACATCTCACTTAGGTCATAGCTTACTTTTGAGGTGTCCAGCAAGCCATAAGAGTTCAGGGTATCTTCAGCCTTGCTCTGCAAGCAAAGAACAGGCTATTTTGCCAGACAGCCTTACACTTGGCTGTTCTCTAATGCAAATACTGCTTATTACAGTTAAGATAAGTTTCTAGCTTCACTCACTACAGAGTGGCTGGAGATGAGGGACAAGCACGTCGAGCTCTCTTGTTCTGCACTGGCAGATGGAAAAGCACCTGCAATACTGACCAGATGGCCATTTAAAAAGAGAAAGCACAAGGGCAATCAGAACCACCTACCCCCAAACCCGGCCAGGATGGCTGAAATCAGCTTTCAGATGATCAAAAGATTAGGAGTATAGATTATACATATATATATATGTATGTATGTATATATATATATATATATATATATATAGTGAGAGAGAGAGAAGTATACACTATATATAGGAATAAAGATTATAGATAGGAGTATAAAGCAAATTCAGTGCAATTTCCAACCAGAGGAGAAAACACATGGTCAGGTACCTAGGGTAGGCTCCTGGCAAGGCCAAAATGACTCTTCTCTTTGAGTAAAATAAATAGAAAGGAAATACCATCTATCTCTTCTTGTCCAAAGCCATGTTCCAAGCCAACAGGGCAAATAAAGAATCTGGCCAAGGATAAAGCTGTGCTCAAAGGTTTCAAACTGTCTCAGCAGAAAGCCTGAAGGTTTGGAAGGACAGAACAGCAGGCTGCAACGTGGCCAGAGGCCCATTTGGGAAGGAAGCCAAAAATCCTAGCAGGCAGCAGCACTCTTCTCAAACCTGGCTCCCCAGGTCCACGTCCCTCTCTTGCACGAGAGCTGTGTGAATTAGGCAAACCCCTCTGCTTTCACTCTTGCAAAATAAGAACCACCTTAGTTTCCCTTGAATGCTTCAGATATGACTTGCTAGAAAAGAAAGGATTTCTCTTATTTTGTCCTCTATTTTTTTTTCCTCCTAAAGGTGACATTCAGGGCATCTTCCATTATAAAATACACTTCAAGTGCAGATTCTCAAGTGAGCAGAGCAGTACTGCACTCTGGATGCTTGTGTGCCAATCCTGCAGCTCCTAAGAGGGTTGGTTGCTCCCAACCTGTCTGCTGCTAAGCTGCATCTGAGGAAACCAGTTCCCCTCTTACCTGCAGGTTCAGAGGGCACATTTAGGCCTTTGCTTATAGCCAGTTAAAAAATATAAAGCTGAGCGTGAGGCCCTGTTCTCCTGACATTGAGCTTCCCTTGCCTGTAGCTACAAACTGAGCTGCAAGACATGCATGAAGGAGAAAGATACATGACTCATCCCCAAACAACACATACCTCTTAGGTGGCTTCTTGTCCCTGGCACCTGTGGTCAAGTCAAAGAGCTCAGGAAGGGCTTCCATTAGTGGCTGCATGTCTCCCACCACAGGTGTTGCTTTCCGCTTCGCTTCAGCTTTCTGCTTCTGCTTGGCCAGCTTCACACTTTCGATTTCTGAGTCAGAAACAGGGCATTAGTGGGGGGAAAGGGAAGTGTTTCCAAGAGATACTCCTTGATCCATGAAATTTCTAAGTTCCAACCTCCCCCTCTGTTTGCCTCTGACCGATGCACACATCTCTACCAGCATTTACAGTAGGAAAGGGCATGCTCAGAATGACGTTGTCCGAGCTGTTTCCATTCCTTGCATTATGGCACATGAGACATTCACTGCTCACAGCAAGACAACACAGGAGGCTGCTAGGAGCCTCCAGCTGACCTCCAGGGTGCACCAATCTGTCCTAAATGCACCAGAATATCACCAGGAACAGCCAGAGCTCAGCATGTTCTCTTTCCTTCTGCCAAGCACCAGGGCTGGAAAGGAGCTTTGTTGCCTTGACACCATTAGGTGTGCCAGAATGGTGGAGGACACGATGGAGAACTCTGCTTCTCCCATGGCATGCTCAGTTACAGCCTCTGCTGACAGCCCTGAACAAACATGCTGTGCCTCTCTTGGAAAACCAGACCCTCTGACCAAGGCCAGCCAGCTTGTCAGCGCTGCGCTGCCTTCCCTGTGGCCATCACCCTTCTCCTCGAGCAGGCACACACCACAGGAGAGCACTCTGAGGGCAAGCTTCAGCTCTAAGCTGGGAACTCCTCTTATGGACATTATGGAGCACAGGGGCAGCAATCATGCTGCCAAATTAGTCAGTGCAGGAAGGACTATGGGTGTCAATGTAACGTAGCCCCAAAAGGAGGCCTGTGATCATCAAAAGTATTTGTGGTGGAAACAGGAAAACATTCAGTGCCTCTCTGCAGACCCACAGACAAGATGTCACCTTGGTCTAATCCTGTTCCATTCAATAAAACAGAGCTCAAATGCATTGGATAACTGGTTGCTCCTTTAATATTTCTTGCCTTGTTCACTCCCCAACTTCAGCTGAGTCAAACGACAACCGTTCTCGATGAACTGCAATTCTTGCTGTACATGGATGTTTGTGACAAATCGGGATTGTAAATGCTTCTCTTCACAGGAATCCCTGCCAAGAACACAGCTTTCTGTTCTGCATCACTTCTTTTTTTGGTCTGGCTTTATGAAGCTGGCTACTTTAGAGCTTTCATAAACATTATGTGCTTAAAATTTTCAGACACCTGATTCTGAGCAAACATCCCAAATTCTTTTCCTATGAGGTCTTTATCCTTGGAGCCACACGATATATATATTTTTAAATGCACATACTTCTAATGTCTAACACATTGCATAACCTTTTTTTCCTGCTCCGGTCTTTCCTGAGATGATTTATTGGAATGGAAGAAATTTCCAAGTTTTGCATTTGCACTACTGGGCTGAACTTTAGTTCCCAGGGCCTTGGCATCCAATGTCAAAAAAGCAGGCCTGGGATAACAAGAAACAACAAACTCCTGGGAAGATTTAGGAAAACAGAGATTTCAAGATAACCATTTCAGTAAAGTTGGGTTCTCTTTTCGGGTGGCAAGGGGAGATGAACAAGCAAATATTGGAAACTCACAGTAAAGAAGAAGTTATATGCATGAGGCAAAAGAATGAGCTTCAGTTTTAACTGTCTGCAGCTCTTTGGTCTCAGTTATGCCTGTGCTGAAGTGCTCAGTGCCACCGAAAAAAGCATCATCTTGGGAAATATGAGTTCATTTTATTTCAGCAGCTAATAATATCAGGTTCTTTACTGATAGGAATATAGGCTCTTTACAGTTAATCAGTTTTTGTCTTGATAAAAAAAAAAAAAGCTGCACACCTGGTACCAACATTTGGTGTTTTTTTTTTTTTTTTTTTTTTTCTCCTTTCCCTCTTATGGGACTTGGCTAAGCCTTAGTGCAGCATTTCCTAGGGGAATGGTGAGATTTGCCAACTGGCTGCAAGTTTAGCAAGAGTACAAAGAGAGCCAGCAAGCAGGTATTTCTGTATCTGTAAAGCATTTCCAATACTCTGTAGAGCATTTCCAATATCTGATATCTTCTTGGACAGATAATTTGGGTTGAAATTTTTTATCTTTGAGTTTTCCCCAAAGCAAAGCCTGTTCATTTCATTTCTATTCACTCCATTTAGTAATTTTAGAGCAAAGAGTGGGGAAAGGAGTCTGTGTTAGAGCCAAAACACGTGGGATCTTGAGAAAGTCTTTACTGTTGCTGTGAAGACATACCTGCAGGAGGGCACGTTTGAGAGCACGAGAGCCTTCTCCTGGATTCTCCTCTATCTTCAACATGAGTGACCTTGAATATGGGAGCAGTAGTGCCACCCAAATCCAGGAGCTTGGCCTCCGTTTCTTGCAGGAAATACAAGGCATGAATTCTGTGTACCCCTTTTTCGTGAATTCACCATCATTAAGATGCTGCTGAGAACAGAGCATCTGCTACCAGTCATGATGAGCAACAGGATATTAGGCTAGGGAAAGCTTAGGAAAGGCCTGCTGGAGCACAACTATGTTCCCACGATAGTATCAAGTACGCACATAGAGAGAACACTTAAGGAGCACTGAAACTGCAGCCAGCAGGCCAGATGTCAGGACTAGCACAATCAACTGTGTGTTGTGCTTCAGTGAGGGCTGAGCATGAATAGCTTGGAAGTTTGGTGTTATAAAGGAAGCTTTCCTTAGCACTCTTTGTGCTAAATTACCGCCTTTTTATGTAAGGGAAGTCAGAGACACCTTCATTGTGATGGGTGAAATCACAAGCTGATGGACTCAAGCTCAGAGATCAATGAGAGCTTGGGAGCAGAGAACATATGGCACAGCAGAAAGATGCACCGCTCCATCCCACATACAGTCTGTCAGCAATTCTGCTAGGGAAAAGGTATTAAGGGAACAGTGTGCCCCAAGAAAACTCCAGGTGGCAAGAGGAATTTTCCTTTACGCCCCCGCTTCGAAATCTTCTAAGGCTCCTTCTGCTGAAAGTGTACAGCTACTAGTTGCAGAGAAGCTGCCACATTCCTTGTTGCACTCAAAGTGACAAAGCCATCTCACCTGCCTTCCAAAGGTCCCCTAGATGAGAGCACCTTTAACTGCTTTGCAGAATGAGGTCCCTCATGTGCACTCCCTGCACTCACTGGTCCCTATGAGGGGATGTCAGTGCAACAAAAGCAAGACTTGAGTTTTTATGTAATTCGGTACACGAGGACAGGTAGTGCATAACTAATACGAAGGCAGGGTGCCTCAGAGTACCACAGCTGAAAGTCTTACCGTGCTGAGCAACTAGAAATGAAAATACAGATGCACTTCCCACAGGAAGCAGGAGCACTTGGGCCATGGGCTGGTTTTGTTTGGCTCTTATTTCACAGCCACTAGACAGTCAGCGCTGTCTGGTCGGTGGGTTCACTGACTCATGGCATATGGGAGAGAGCAGCAGCACAGCTAGACTCCCCAGAGGCTTTCCTTGCCAAGGGCACTCGGCCCCACTGCATTCCCCCAGCTCTGCTCACAGAGATGGGGGATTAGCTGGTGGCTGTGTGGGGCCCGGCTCCAGCCTCTCCTACCCTGCCCACAGCTCTTCAGCAGCCATTTAGCTCATGCTGTGACCGTACAGCTAGCAGAGATTGTACTGCAGCCTTAACAGTACAGGACAACAAGCTAAACCTTGCAGAGGCACAGGGTCTTACCTGGAGGCCATGCAAACGGCTTTATGGAGTCTCTTGTATCCCATGCAGAGGAAGATCAAAAATAGCTTTGTGGCAAAGACTCCATCTGAGCATTAAAAGCCCCCTGGAAACAGGCAAAACCTGAGACTTCTACCTCATGTACTGGGAATAAACCTGAGAAGCATTCAGCCTCCACAGCCTATAACCCTTGCTCTGATACCGCCCAGTACTTCCAGCCACTGTACACGCCTCATTTAGAAATCCAGAAGAGTCATCCAGCAAGATACATGTGATACAGTTGTTTTTCAGGACTACTTACTCTGTAGCCATCTTTCTTTCCTCAGTTTCATTTTTTCTTTTTTTGAAAGAATTGTTTTCTCTTCTATACCTAGAAGGGGAGAAAAAAAGAAAAAGATGTTAAGAAAACAGAGCCTAGCTACTGCATACAACTTCCGTGTCAAACATTTCATAAAGATAACACTGCAAAGCCCATAAAATTTTGTTCAGGCTTTTCCAGTTTTGAATTTGTCAGTATGGCAGATAGGCTGCATTTCAATCCCGAGCTGAACAAATCCAAACTGGCTCCCTGTCAACAGAGAAATAAGAAATAAGGAACAAGATTAGATTAGTGGCAGCAGCATGGGTCCTGCTTTCTCAGGCTAAGGAGTTGTTCTTGAGAGCCACTTTTCAAGAGAACTTTCCTTCCAGTCTGTTACATTCCTATGGGAACCTGGCCTGAACAGACTGACATTTTCTTCTGAAAACTAGTCGCAAGTGAGGAACACTCTCTAAACATCTATGTGAAAAGATGAGTAGCCACAGTGATCTGAACTAGGCCTAGTCTGACTTCCCTTTTGAGGTTGTGTGAAATCAGGAAAAATCCAGGTAAATGGCATCCATACAGAGCGGTCAGTTATTAGATAGTTTGTAAATAAAGGCTAGCACCAACTAAACACTGATTTCACTACTTGGAAACCAGTTGTGATATCCAATACCAAAGCAAATAAAGACACAAATATTTTTACTGGAGATTTCATTACAGACACTGTAAAATTTTATCTTATCTTTGGTGTTTTTAAAAAATGAGGGAAAAAAGACAGACTTCAGTCTCTGAAAATGTCTTGGGAATATTGCTCCAAGAATGTTAATACAGGACAAATCTCCCTAAACACTGCTCCTCTCACCTTAGGCTATTCTTAAGCATGGCAAAGCAGAAATACCCTTTTTTCTCCCCTTTCAAACAGAAATCAAACAGGATAAAGGAATTCAACACAACTCGGAAAACTGTTGGCTGCAGACAACATCTCTGAAGCTTCAGATCTTTCAGGATGATTTAAATAAAAGCTGGTGCATAATTTAATCACTTCAATGTCTTAAGATCGAAACAAGCCTGCTTAGGGCAGGGGGTCTTTTTCATAACACTAAGGACAACAAAAAGTTTTGAATTTCCAGAGGACAAGGAGGATGATGGTGGAGTTGTCATCATCTCTTATTCCAGAAAATAAAAATTAAAAATTCTACTCATTTTAAGCCAATTTCTGCCCCAGGCAGGATACACTCTGTGGAGACCCAGGCAAAGGAGAGCAGGAACAAGCAGGGCAAGGCCCCACAGCTGCAGCTCCAACCCTCCTGCTCCCCCCAAATCAGCTCCTCACAACCCTGTATCCCCCTCTCCCCAACATCCCAAATCCCACGACTTTGCTGCAAGGATGTGGGACACGGAGCAAGGATGTGGGACACAGAGAGGCCAAAACACAGGGCACAGCCCCATGGGCTCCGAGCAACAGCCCGGGCCAGCAACTTTCCCTCTTTCTGGCTTACACTGAGTGTTTCCAGCTTTCAGGGATGATGCTGGTGGTGCTGGTGGGGGGTGTCTCCCCTCTTTGTCTGAAAACATGTTCATTGCTTCATTGGGAAAACAGCGCCTGGCATGATTTGCTAATGAAAAAAATAAAATAAAGTCCTCGGCCAGCTGGCCAGCTCTAGCAATAACATCAATTCCGATATTTATTTTTTTCCAAACAGCAGCAGAATATTTAAGGAAACGTGAAAGCTGCTTTCTTGGCGAGAGCCCAAGGGCGGCGCGGCGGGAAGACGGACAAGACGGACACCCCGGCAGCGGGGCCTTAAGCTGCAGCTTAGCAGGCAGCGCGGGGGGCAGGGCCGCTCGGGAAGGCGGCGGGATGGGCAGACCCACGGTCTGCAGGGGAACAAGTCCCATGGGGGCAATATGAACCTTCAAGATGTGTCTGGGGCTTTAGCACAGGGATGATCAAGTTGATGCGTGCAGGACAACTGTCAAAAATACTAAAGTTAATTCAAAGGCCCCAACGCCAGTGACTGCTGAGCAGCGCCTAAGCTAACCTCCAAAGGCACCTGTGTGGAATGGGCTGCTGCGGAGGTGCCCGTCAGGGCTTCGGCATCCCACACACATACACAGCCAGCAGACGCCTGGCATTAGGTGAGCAAGACTTGGAGGAAAGTCCTCCAATCCATCCCACACACAAAAAAAAAAAAAAAAGCTTCAGAGAAGCCATCAACCAGAGAAGACACCCTTGCTCCCATCACAGCCCATCATCTTCCATCAAGATACCCCATCACAACAGAGATGCAAAGCAGCCCATTTCTGCCCTTCTGCACCAAACTCTGCAAGTCAGAGCCACACAAGAGTCACACGGCCCCTTCTACAGACATTTTCAATTTTACATCCCTCCCTGCCCATGAGGAGGATTTGCACTCGCTAGAAGTTGCCAAGTTGCATTTGGCAACGTCCCCTTCATGCACAGCATGCCAAGGCCGCTGGAGACTCGCGGGCGAGCGCTTCGCACGCAGGAGGCAGCTTCAGTTAGTTAATTAACAGCATGCGCCGTCCCAAGGTGGTCTTTATTTTTATTTAGCTCACAAGCACCTCTGAGATCAAAGGCAGACAGCAGCTCTGCTTTATTTTTTTTCCTGTGAACTCAGGAGGGCTCGGGTCCCCCCTGCCAGCGTCTGCACGTGGAACTGAAGTACCACTTGCCTTTGAAACCTTGCTCACAGGGAAGAGGGGTAGCAAAGCCCTCACGCCTTAGCTCCAGCAATTCAGATCCTGTAAACTCGACAATTATTCCTGTTAGCAAGGATGTGTTTATTTTCTCTGATCTGTGCGGTACAAAACATCTTAAACACAAACAGATTAGAAAGGGAAAAAGCAGACTTTCTGCTCCTACATCAAATGCTTGTTACTACTCGTGACAGTTCTCAGAACCCAGCTTTTGAGGCAGACAAGTAGAATTTCTCCGTGTTTCTTCCTTCAGTTCAAAATGGTTGTATGAGTCTTTTGGTAAAGGACTGCAGTCATAGGCTTTATATATATATGCATGTATATAGATAATATTTATGATTATATATACACCTACATCCATATATATGCATCAATCTAAAGTATATTTGTGTGTACATATAGATATATAAATAAATATATCCTACCTTAAAAGGATATCGATTTTAGCACTTCCAGGCGTGCAGGAGAAGCCTTGCTCAACCAAGACACTAGGTTAAAGCCTTAATACTCTAGACTTCCCTCAGTCATAAGATACCATTTTTAAACTGGGCTGCACAGTCAAAAGGGCCAAAAACATGGACTTTACACTGGAAGAGCTCCAGCACCTGCAAAGACTCTGCCACAAGCACAAACATTGGTCATAAATCTGCTCCTGCATCATGCTGTGCTGTAGAAGAGGAGGATGCTCTAACACCAGACATCTACTTGCCCTGTCTCCTCGTCCCAAGCCTCCTTTTGGTCAGAACTATTAAATGTATCATGTGGTGTTTGAGTCGTATTCCCAGCAGGCTGGTGATACACAGCAGTGCGGGTGTTGCTGCTTGAAACACGCTATTTTGGCAAAGCAGGGTGCCATATAAATTGCAGTTAAACAACAACAGATGTGTTATTTTTAGCCTTGGTTGTATAATAGGAAGGGGAAAAAAGCAGCCTGTGCCTACAGCTGTGCAATGCTGAATTCACTAAGGAAATGCAAGGAATATACTGAACAGCAAACATTTTTTTTCCTCTTAAATTACACAGAGAGTCATTTGTAAATTGTCTCAGACCATTTTGCACTGAAAGGAATGGGGAAGTAGGAAATCACGGCTGAGTTTCCCCTAGCCCCTTGCAGGACCTGACAGGTGCCGATGCAGGAATCCCAAAGGTACCCGTTTCCTCTTGGAAAAGAGCTCACGGATGACACAAGCTGTGCAGAAGACCAGCCAAGACATCCTCCAGCACAGTGGTGCCTGCCAGAGCAGGTGCCCACGGGAGTCAAGGAGCTTATTGGGCTCATCCACACTCCCCACCTAAAAGCCCAGCTCTCCTGCTCCTCAGCCCTGAAGGCAAGGCTGCAGAAGTGTCCTTGGAGCCAGGATCGTGTGGGACTATCGGGAGCTGGGCCTGGAGATGGCAAGGCCAGGATTTGGGGCTGGTATCGTGGCTCTCTTTGCCTTGCTCCCAGCAGCAGCCTGGTAGCCTGAGCCTGGTGCACAGGGACCGCAGCCAGGCTTCACCCGCTCCAAGCCCTGCTGCTCCGGGTAGGCTTGGACACCAGTGCTGGAAGAGAAGGTGACAGCCCCTGCTGGCCTGCTGGGACAGGGCAGCTTGCACCATGGATACGGCATTTGCTTTTCTATTCAGAAGCAAGCCTCGTTTTTAATAGCATTTAACCATTCCTCCTGCACAAAAATAGCTCCTCCTTCCCCTAACAAAGAATTAAAACGGGATATCCATTCTCCCCGACTCACGAATTACCCAGTTATTTAAAAAGGAGCACCCTGCCAAGCCCAGCTCCACCACCAGAGACCCAGAGGAGCAGCGTGACTCGTGTCCTCACGCCAAGGTCAGGCCTCCATCAGGCCTGGTAAACATCCTCAGGCTCTGACCCGTTACAGCAAGGGCACGAATCCCCCCTCTGCGGAAAGAGCCGAGATTCAGCTCCAGTTAGCCGCATAAGCGCACAAGTGACATGCCAGCTGAAGCTGGAGCAGATGCCCTCAGGAGGTTATGGAGAAGCCACAATTTGCTCAGCAGTCTGCGAAAGGCAACGCAGGGGACAAATTCCGTCCTCCCCAGTAACGTTTTAAGGTGCTACAATCACAGCCACAATGTATAAAACTATCCATTCAGAAGCACTGAGTGCTCTGCTTGAAACATTTTTCACTCTTCAAGAGCCCTCAGTTCCTTCCTCTTCCCATCCACACTTGCTCTAGCAGCTTCTCTGGCATAAATATTAATATTTGAAGGGTTGATCTCTGTTATGCGCACAGGATACTCAATGGGGTCCAGTGAGTTAGTGTCCTTAAATCCACTTCTGCAGCC